TTGTCTCCCTCTCTGATTTCGTCTTGTTTTATTTTTCCCTCCCTTCCCCTATGATCCTGTTTTGGTTCTTAAATTCCACATGAGTGAGATCATATGATAACTGTCTTTCTCTGATTGACTTATTTCATTTAGCATAATACCTCTAGTTCCATCCACATCATTGCAAATGGCAAGATTTCATTTTTTGATGGCTGAGTAGTATTCCATTGTATAGCTATACCACATCAACCTTATCCATCCATCTGTTGATGGACATCTGGGCTCTTTCCAGAGTTTGGCTATTGTGGACATTGCTGCTCTAAACACTGGGGTGCACGTGCCCCTTCGGATCACTGTGTTTATATCCTTCGGGTAAATACCAGTAGTGCAATTGCTGGGTCATAGGGTAGCTCTATTTTCAACTTTCTGAGGAACCTCCATACTGTTTTCCAGAGTTACAGCCAGGTCTTTTGATCACTGTATTTTATGAGCATTTACCCAAAACAGCAAGCTCAATAAACTTATATTAACAATCTCAAAGGTACCCAGCAAAGCCCAATGAAGCATGTGACATGAAGCGATGTGACATTCATTCCAGTTGTGATCTTTAAGATTTTTTTTTTTAAGATTTTATTTATTTGTCAGAGGGAGAAAGAGCAAGCAAGCATAAGCAGAAGGAACAGGAGGGAGAGGGAGAAGCAGGCTCCCTGCTGAACAAGGAGCCCGATGCGGGGCTCGATCCCAGGACCCTGGGATCATGACGTGAGCCGAAGGAAGATGCTTAACTGACAGCCATCCAGGCGTCCCTAAGATTTTTTTTTTTTTAACGATACTATAATTTTGATTTTTAGTGTTCTACAATATTCAGGAAAGGGGATGAGAGTTTGGAGTAGAGAGTAAGTTTGGGTTTGTCCTAAAAAGTCAAATAGCTGGAAATCTACCACTAATTACCATATTTCCCTATATGTAAAAGTGTTCCAAATGGACCATCAAGTATCTCTTCTTTCAGAGGGGTGTGCAAGTGGGAGGTAGAAGGCAAGAATCCTAGCTAGGATGTACCTATTTCTCAAGAATTCAATTACTAGGAGGTGCCTGGGTGGCTCAGTTGGTTAAGCGACTGCCTTCGGCTCAGGTCATGATCCTGGAGTCCCAGGATCGAGTCCCACATTGGGTTCCCTGCTCAGCAGGGAGTCTCCTTCTCCCTGACCCTCCCCCTCTCATGTGCTCTCTCTCTCTCTCTCAAATAAATAAATAAAATCTTAAAAAAAAAAAAAAAAACTAATGATGTATGGTGATTAACATAACATAATAAAATTTAAAAAAAAATTTTTTTTTTTAAATGATTTAAATTGCTTTTCACTTAACAAAAGGTGGGGGTGGAGGATTAAATTACAGGTGTAAGGTGCCTATTACCTGTTCATTTTTTAAAAATTAATCCTTCACTCAATTAAGGAAAACCGAGTTTTCAGGAAGAGAACAAAGACATACCTCAACAAAGAAGACTAGGTTCTCTAAAAGAGCAGGGCGTGTTTTCAAGTTACCATCTTTAACTTCTAAGAGGTCACCTTTACATCTACTGAAGACATCTGAAAACAGGAAAGTATTTTATTGTTTTGTTCAGCTTTTGTTTCAATGATATTTTTAGGAATACAATGTACACTCTAATAAAGAGTAAGCAAATATAAAAAGCTTAATCCAGAAAGCTTTTTCCCCCACAGTGAACCAAACAACAAAGGGTATCTATTTTAAGCTCTTTAATCTCTACCCCCAAGGTGGGACTCAAACTCACGACCCAAGATCAAGAGTCGCAGGCTCTACCAACTGAGCCAGCCAGGAGCCCCTACTTTAAGCTCTTTAAAAAGCCATGTAACTATTGCTCTGTTGCCTTCAAAATATAAAAGGTGGCCTTTATATTCTAGAGTCTAAACACCAGCTAGCCTTTCCACAAACAGGCCATTGCCACAATAAAATTAAGACTCCAAATGAATGATTTAAAAGAATGTATACCATTATGGACTAAAAGACTAAGGCGCATAATAGAAATTCACCTTCATAATAAATACCATGTTTTATTCTCACAATCTTTGTCTTTTAATTATCATTCTTCAGTTGGGCAATAAAATAAAAGACCATTTATGCTCTTGAAAAGAAAGACCCTTATAGATTTGAAGTGCATTTATGTCCTTTTGTACCAAACAATTCTATTTCCAGGAATTTAATCCCAAGGAAATGCTCAAATAAGTACCCAAACACTTATGTCCCAAGATGTTCATTTCAGCATTATTATAAATATAGTTATGAATAACTCAAGTATATAGTATGTTATATACTCCATGGGGCATACATAAATAAACTTAGTACACTGATACAATACTGTGGAATATTATATATAACTGACATGGTAAATGTTCAAGACAAAAAAACATTAAAATAAAAAAAAGTATGTATTATACCTTTTCGTGTGTTTAAAAAAAATAAAATCACTACTATGTATTTCCACATACACATGTAAGACTGTTTAGGGGGCATCTGGGAGTATAGACTCCAAAAGTTGTTACTTACCTTGTAAGTAAAAGTATTTACTTCTCTCTGGGGGAATGGAGCTGGGAATGGGAGAAAGACCATACCCACTTGTGTACTGTTTTATAGTAGGTTGTCTACTACTTTTGTAATCAACACTTCTTAAGGTTAAAAATAAGTCTTTCAAAATACCGAAAGTATGCATTATTATTTTCAAGTTGTTGTTTGCAACTCTTACAAATTTCTGCTAAAAAAATGAGTTCCTGTCAGACAATCAATAAAATATGGGAGTCCACAGTCACATGCTTACCTTTTAATTGTTCTAGTAAAGACTTAAGACTATTCTCTACTCGATCCTGGATCTCCACTGTATCCTCTAAAATTGAAAAAAAAAAAGAAAAAACATTATTTTTTTAGAAAGAAAAAGAACTAAAAACAACTGCAAGCAACTCATGGGCAAGGACATTTTCTTTACTCTTAAGACTCACAGGTATCAAATTTCATTACTGAGAGACAAAGAAAAAAATAAAAGAAAGTAAAATGAAAAAAGGGCATTAATTACCTTTCTCTCAAAAGTAATACCTAAAGTTCTCTAGGAAGACTTAAAATCTATGTGCTTCAAATACTCTCAATGACAGAATCCACAAACCTTATGATTTTGGCGGAGGGGGTTAATGGAGTATGTGTGATTCACATTGAATTAGGAAAATAGTCTTTTCCACAAAGTTTTGTAAAGAATTCAATCTGAAATCCAACAATACTTCAACAAATTAAGGATTTTTTCAACTTTTGGACCTAACAAGTGATTTTAAATAGGGAAGATTTAAATTTCTAAAACATTACTTGGTAACCTAGGAATGTACCTTTTTTTTTTTTTTTTAAGATTTTATTTATTTGACAGAGAGAGACACAGCAAGAGAGGGAACACAAGCAGGGGGAGTGAAAGAGGGAGAAGCAGGCTTCCCGCGGAGCAGGGAGCCCGATGTGGGGCTCAATCCCAGGAGCCTGGGATCATGACCTGAGCCGAAGGCAGACACTTAACGACTGAGCCACCCAGGCGCCCCGGAATGTACCTTCTTTGATATTAAACCAGACACTTCCAGAACACCTTCCGCCTCCTCCCAATCTGTCCAAATATGTGAACTGTTACATTTACTAAATTTTCAAAGACAAAGACCTAGTAAATACACTCATGCAAATGTATACTTACCTAAACCACTGGTGTCCAGCTCATAAATATCACTAACAAGATAAAAAGAACTGGTCTGACACTGAGAACAGCCAGAACTAAAGAATCCAGCCATTCTGGTAGGTACAGGACCAAGGAAAGGATACTGGAAAAAAAGGGGAAAAAGTAATGTCCTTTAAATCCATCTAAATTTATATAAAACAAGTAAACAGGGGACTATAACTATTGGATAAAGTCTATCTCAGTGATTAAGTTGCAAACCACTGATCTAACTAAACTAACAACTGAATCATTATGGTGAAAACACAAACTCTGTATTGGTTTGTTGATAGCTATTAAAAATACCATTTTTAATGGTATTTACCATTACAAATAAAGCTATTTTGCTTTTCCTCGCTATCCAGTTTGGATAGTGAGGAAGCCTCTGTAATTCCCAAGTCTATAAAATCAGATTTTTCCTAGAGGTGCCATAAACTGGGACAAAATACTGTTCTTTACTATTCATCCACCCCCAAATTCCTATTTTTAAAAAGACAGTCATAGGTTATTGCAGCTTTGATGGTAAACACATATTGATGATACCTGAACTTCCTTCTCAATAAATCGCTTTCCCGTCTCCATGGCCACCTCCAGCTGTTGAAGGAGTAAACGAAGAATATCAATCCGGGAGGACACACCATTCTCAGTGGTCTTTTCCGAGTTCCTTGGCTCCACGGGGTGGTTTAGACTTGGAAGTCCACTGATCAGCCTCAATGTTAAGGAACGGATTCTTAACCACATGGTCTCCTCCTCCAAGGAAAGTTTCTTATGTTCTTCAGAAACATCCCTTAAAAAGAACCAAACCATCCATTTTATTCAATGTGTTGCCTTTACATCTTTTAAGCTTTACTTCCATCAGGCAAGATGCCATTGAATGGTCCTGGTGCTCGTCTCCTAGCTGAATGATCTCAGATAAACCCAATCACCCAAGTCCCCAATTCAGGATCAATAAAATGGGGAATGATAACCTACCTAACAGGTCATTTTTCCGCTTCAGTGAGATTTCTGATAACAAAATATTTATCATGTATTTTGTTGAAAATGTTGTTGAAAATTCTTGTATCATGCATTTTCAACAAAATACACGATATAAAAACTTCAAATGACGGAAAACTGAAAAATAGAAAAATGTGCGATAAACCAAACACCTGCAATATTAACAAGCTTGGTATCAATCCTTTCAGACTCTTACAATACAGATGTACAAAACTGCAACTAAAAATATTTATATAATTTGACATGTTTTAAATAAAATGGGCTCATAATATTTATACTATTTTGCAAACATCTTTTTTGACAGTGTGCAGAAAAGAGTTAACATAGAAAGCTTGAGGTTATTATCTTTAGAAGGGCCAGCTTGCAAGGTTGACCTTTAGCTGATACCTAGGAACTTGGCACCCCAACCATTCCCTACATGATAACAGTGGCTCACTATGCCTAGGCTTTATGTACAAACCATATGGTCTATGATGAACACCTGCTTTCCTTCTGGGAGTCTGGGATGTTGACACATGATGGACAGAGGGTGCTTACATAACCAGCTGGTAAAAACCTTGGGCACCAAATCTCAAATGGGCTTCTCTGGGCAGAAATGCTGCACACACATCACTGCATTTTTTTTGCTGCTAGGAACACAGGAGGGAGAGAGCACTAGAAGTCTGTGCATGGAGTTTTCCAGATTCTGTGTCTTTTTCACTTGCTGATCCTATCATTTGTCCTGTTATAATAAACCTTAGCTGTGAAGACAACTATAGGTTAATTATGAGTCCTAGCAAATCACTGAATGTGGTCTTGGCGATCCCCAAATCATAGTGCAGTTGACATTTGAACAACACTGATTCGAACTGCATGGGTCTACTTACGCACAGATTTTTTTTTTTTTTTTTTTGGTAAATACAGTACAGTACTGTAAATGTATTGTCTCTAACTTGTAATTTTCTTAATAACATTTTCTTTCTCTAGCTTACTTTATTCTAAGAATACAGGACATAATACACATGACATACAAAATATGTGCTGATCAACTGTTCATGTTATAGGCAAGGCTTCCAGTCAATAGTACGATCTTAGTAGTTAAGTTTCTGGTGAGTTAAAAGTTACACATGGATTTCCAACTGTGCAAGGGGGTCAGACCCCAACTCTGCATTGTTCAGGGGTCAAATGTATATTCAGAACTACCTCGTATACATATCTCTGCATGCTTGTGCACTTACTGCCTTTGGTTGTACTTTCCTAGAAGTGATCTGCTGAATTAAGTGGGATATGGAATTTTCAATCTTCATACAGATTACTAAAATTCTCTATAGAAAGGTTATATAAAGTTTTATCTCCATGTCAATGTGCAACAACCTCTCTCCCCACAACCTTGCTGACCACAAGTATTAATCTTTTTTTATCTTTGTCCAATAGTTAAAAAAAAAAATCTTTATCACTATAAGGTGCATCTCTTTGAATTTCTTAAGTCCAATTTGTTTTTTAGTTATCTTCTTCTTACTGATTTATTAAGAACTCTCCCTTTAGGGACGCCTGGGTGGCTCAGTCAGTTAAACATCTGCCTTTGGCTCAGGTCATGATCCCAGGGTTCTGGGATTGAGCCTCACATTGGGCTCTCTGCTCCGTGGGAAGCCTGCTTCTCCCTCTCCCACTCCCCCTGCTTGTGTTCCCTCTCTCGCTATGTCTCTGTCAAATGAAAAATAAAATCTGAAAACAAACAAAAAAAAACTTAAAAAAAGTCTCCCTTTATGTGAAAGATATTTATATGAAGAAAATTACCAATCTACCACATACCTTTAGAACTTGTTAACAAATTTACTTCTATATAGAAGGTTAATAGTTACAGAGACCAAATCCTTTATGTTTCCAGGTTTGATGTAATGCTAAGAAAGGCTTTCCCTAACCACTTAAAAATATTTTTTAGGGGTGCCTGGATGACACGGTCAGTTAAGTGTCCGACTCTTGATTTAAGCTCAGGTCATGATCTTGAAATTGAGCCCCACATCAGGCTCTGCACAGGGCGTGATGCCTGCTTGGGATTTGCTCCCTCCCTCTCCCTCTGCTCCCGCCCCACCCCACCTCCAGCCCCC